AGCAGGGCGAGTTGTGATTATCAATGGAGGCCTTGTCTCCCCCTACAATGGGCAGTTAGCTTAGGGCAGGACCTTAGGCAGAAATCAGCTACATTGAACTGTGAAAGGGCTCAGGCCACTGTATCGGCCATCACAGAGCAAAGGGAAGTAGTTTTTAGGAGAAAATGCTTACTCAGGTGTGGAAGCATCCTTAAAAAAATAAACTGTGACTCCACTAGCTAAACAGAGATGGGTAAAATTAAATCTTTGACTTTTTTCAGGAAATGCTTCATCACTGATACTGAGTTTTTATGCTTGGGAAGGAGATGAGGACCAAGTTACATGTAGCTGGTGGGTTTGCTTGGTGTTAGCTTTTCCATTAACCTGAAGGGTTTGCAGTTTCCTTGTTGAAGTTTGGGATGCCACCCACAGCGGCTGCTGATGTGGGTGATCCCTGTGGATGGAGTGGTGCTTACTGATGGGCACTCTGCTTTGGGCATCGGTGATCTTGTCTGGAAACAGAAGAATATTCCAATATTTAAAGCAATATTTTGGGGTTTGCCTTTTCTTGCAAATTAGTTTTCTGATTTGGGAGGGAGGATGTCATTCCTAGGCAGGACCAAGGAGAGATCAACCTTTAGAAAAAACAAACTCTCCTCTTATGAGCATCTTTGGAGCTGTGCAGAGCAGCTCAGGAACATCTGTTAGCATTTCACTGGCCATAGTCAGCATAACTGCAGTAGCACCATCTGGAAAATACAGGGAGGCAAGTTATAAACCTATTTTTTAACGTGAACTGGTATTGAATGGTACCCTTTGGTAAGCCCAGGGAGCATCTCCAGGAGGGCCTGCTAATTCAAGACCACTGTCAACCTTCTGCATCCACGCTGGAGGAGGGGAAAAGGCTGACAAACCCTCTTCTGTACTGCTTTTGTTTTATTGTCTTAGGCTCATAAAGGCACTTTCAGGCCCATCTTTCTTCAGCAGAAAGGGAAAGCAATGGGGAAACGGGGAAGAGGAGGACATGGCAAAAAAGACAGGCGGAGCTCTAGCTCCATTTGTTTCCAGTGTCTGTTGATTAATAGGTTTTAAGGTGAATGGCGAGCTCTCATTCCTCCTCGAGGAGGGGGCTCTGGGGGTCCAGGGTGCAAGTGCCTCATCAGTCTCTCCCTTTCCATGTTCCCAGGTGTGGGCAGCACCCCTCCCTGCCTGGTGAGCAGGACCTGAGGCTGTAAGAACACTTAAAAGGTCTCCCTGGGCTGGAGAAGGGGGTTCCACCTGGGATGAAACTAGTTTCAGGCAGTGCTGGGGCAGGAGCATCCCCCTGCCCTGTCCTTGGCTGCTTGGATGGGGACGCAGCAGGGTGGCCGTGCTGAGGCCAAAGGGTTTGGTCACTGCAGTGCTGCGATGGCATGATGGCTTGTTTTCAGCCTGGGTGGCTTTTCTTTGCAGACCTGCTTTTACTAAAACCACGTTATCCCGGTGAGGACAAATTCTGTGTCCTCTCTGACATGTTTTCCTCTGACTTTGAGTTGATCCCATGTTTTTATTACCAAAGCCAAGCAAGCTATGAATTTGCAAACAGAAATTACAGTAACAAACTCTTCCTATTTAAAGGTTGGTTTCTCTTTGTGTGAGCAACAATACAATGTTTCATCTCATGCAAGTCTTATGTTGCTTTCAGAGACTTAGGAACTATTGATTTATACAGCATGTATTAACTTCTTCAATAAATGGGGAGTATTCATCAGTGGGGTGTATTAAATTGGGCTGTATACGCATAGAAGCATCTTTCATCCTGTTAATGAAATGTCCTTACCATGCAACAAAGACTAATACACAGCAATTTACACACACAATCCCCTGCAGTTTAAATCTGAAGTTCAGGTATTTTTTTTATTCCCTAAAGGCACCTATCAGAACTTAGACTAAATGGATCTCAGTGTCCCTCTCAAACATATATCAGACCAAAATTTGTTCTAGCTTTGTTTCGTTGTTTTTTTTTTCATTCCAGTGCTCCATTATTGTTTAAAATCATCTGTGTTTAAGCACTCTCAGAAGAATTTCAAATTCATATAGACAGATTTAGTAGTTGAGTCCCTATGGGGACAATTTCCTCTGGTTTGCTTCAGGCAGGGGTTATCAAGAAAAGCAAACTTCTGTTGTTTTTTTGCAATTCTTTGCCGTGCCCTCTAACTCGGCGTATGAGACCCCAGCTTTCAGTGGAGAGGGGTGATTTATCAGCAGATGACTTGGTACTTTGTAGATGCTGGGATTTCTCTCCAGAAATCTCCACTTGTTCCCATCCTGTTACCGCGTGCCCTGATGCTAATCTGTGCGTAGCAGTGCGGCTCCTTTCCGTGCCTGACATGGCCATACATGGAGTTCTTCAAGTTGCCAGAGAAATTCCTGCATCTCACAGTGGCTTTTAGCTTAAAACTACCCTCGATAAAGTGCTCACAAATGTATATTGGAGAAGGGCCTTTTGCAGGGGGATGGCTAAGGTCATTTAATAGGTGTCTCCTGTTGATGGCTTCTGTGGTTTACCTTTCATTGCCAGTGGATGGGGTTAGGACCACACTTGTTACTGGAGCAGAGCTCCCATTGACTTCAAAGGAAGATGCATGTGCGGGATTAATCCTGCTCTTTCCCAGCTAGTCCTTTCTTCTTCTCTTTTCCAAGGAAGCTTAGTTAACTTCAGGAATGCTGCTTTTAAAGAGAAGCTTATTTAGCATATTGTGCGTGATTAGCGTGGCTTGCAAACTGCGTGTGCTGTTGTGAGCGGAGTTACAGCCCCTTTTCCCCATGTGTGATAAACAGGGCAAAACAGAACACAGACCTAGGCCAGGGTCGTGATACAGGTGCAGTCTGATTTGCAGGGGCAGTGTATCACATTTCTCTGTCCCAGAGAGCATGTTTTTGAACAGGTAGATGAGAGTTTCCCCTTTTCTCCTGGCACATTGTCCCCACACGCTGCCCCAGTGTCATCAGAGTGGCAAAAAACTGTCCTGTGCTTAGATCCAGTACCTTTATATGAATTTTCTTTGACTGCAGGACAGTTACCCAAATAAAAATTACTTACCTGAGGAAAACTTTGCAGACTAATGTTCAAACTCTTGCTTGTTGATTTTTTTTCCTCCTGTTGCTTTTTATTTTTGTTTTAAAGCTGTTAAGTAAAATACATCATGATTTAGCACTTGTGCTGTTTTGTGGAGATATTGTGGGGGGTCTTGGTGTATCAAAGCAGCGGGTGGTAGCTTCCCACAGTTTACATGTAACCCGCTATGGTATATCTGGCTTTAGTGATACAGGCACATAAGTCCAGCTGTCCTCTCACATGGTGTTTCTTATTTGTCAGCTTAAGTCTGACCCTCTAATGTTATTCTGTCAATTACTTATTTTTTTAACTAACCGGTTCCAGTTTCTATGAAAATAAGCTTTCCATAGGAGACAACTCTTAGTGTCTGTCAGGGTCTGGGTGAGGGTCTTTTGCAATGGTGTGAAGATAGCTGCTGTAGCTCTGTGCTTTCTCAACTCTATCAACCACACTGTGGGTCACGTAACAGCAAGAGGTCAGACAATTCTTGGCCAGCAAAAATTCCTCTTATTGGGAATGATGTTTTTTTGTGAACCAAATGACAAGAGGTCATTTGACATCTGATGTCATGTGTTGTTGAGTAGATGCCTGCTAGTTTGCATGGTGAGTAATGTGATTTGTTATGTGAAGCCCTTGCCAAACCTTTCAGTTACTTTTGGACTGTGTAGGCTGGTTCACTTGGAAGAGAACAGATTTTGGGTTAGAGTGTCTCCTTCACCTTTTCGTATTAAGTGGCTACATCCCCATAACTCCTCTGATGTGGAACCGTTATGGGTCTGTGTGGCCAAAAGTTGTCTTTGGTTGTACAAGGGGCAGAAGACCTGACCTACAGCCCAGCCAACACCACGTACTATATATAATTCATAGCATTGACTGTCACAACTGTGCTCTGTCCTGCGTCGTGACCGCTTTGTGTGGGGCTCTCCTGCACCACGAGCATAGCATTAGAAGGGAATTGTTCCATGGAAGGGATGCAAAAAGAAATGCACACAGTAAATGTTGTAGGAGGCATAAACTGCCCTTTGGCTTGCTTCTTTTGGGTGCACACTTTTTCCGCGGGTTATCAGAGGGATGAGTCGAATAGCTCTGTGTATACGGCAGGGGCTGGGGGTGGCTGGAGGAGCCACAGCTGAAGCTTAGCTTGACCAAAGCACAGTGGAGGGACTTGGTGTTTATTCGGGGGAAGACTGACATTTCTTTTCCTTGTAGCTCTCAGTCTGTCTTCCCTCTTCCTTCCCCCTACTCTAGAAACTCATTCTCAAAGAGCAACGGAATTATTTTTGAGATGTTTTTAAGGGAAGCTCGAAGCGTTCGAACCGCAATGGGATAACAACTTGTCTAAAGCTGCATGGCAAGGGCGCGTGTTTGGGGGTGCTGGGGAGCGAGTGGTGGGGTCAGAGCCATCCTCGGGCAGGGGGGTGAGCAGGAGAGTGCTGGCAGACCCTGAACGGCAGCGGCGCTATCGGGGGCTGCCCTGGTATCACTACTTTATTTTAATGTGATTCCTTTTACTTGATGTTAATGCAAGTTGTTCCTTACTTAAAGTAATAAAAGGAAATGAAGACACATTCTAAAATGAAACCTGACTCTAATCCATTCATCATCTAATACCAGCCTCTTTATCTTTGCTGGTACCTAATCTGGTTAAATGTCCCTGTTGTAGGATTTTAGTGAAAATCCTCTATGGGGAATAGGGTTTTTTGCAATTGGATTACTCGCAGTAAATGGTCCAGCAGTTCGCTTGTTTCAGCTTAATTTTTTCTTTGTGATCTTGTAAGGGTAAGTTACAGTTCAGCCTGCCTTTTCCTTTCATTCATTCACTGTTCCTTTTTTTTATTGTTGTTAAGAAAAAGATATATATCTCCCCCCCACCGCCCCTCCCCCTGAGCTAGGAATGTGACAGGGAAAACCTCATGATATCTACGTGATTATTTCCCCCACAAGAGTGTTAATTTCAATGGCTTTATCTGGGGGTTTTTTTGCCATTATTTATATAGCTGAATATTTTAGTAGCCTAATTCATCAGTATCCAGTTTCCATTTATTAGCACTCTCTGATGAATTGATAATTAATCAGCTCTTCTAAAATATATATATATATAAAATATGCAGGTGATCGCTTGTCAGCTTAATGCTTGCTGATGAAGGGAATACTCCAGCACTACAAAGGCTTTTTATCTGGAGTATTTGCAGTGAGCAGTAAAATGCAGAACTGAAAGCAAGGACAGCAAGGGGAAAGGAAAAGACCTACAGGTCAGCAAGCATTTGGGTCTCGTGCTAATTAAATGGGGGGCTCTGTCAGCCCCTCACTGAGGAGTCTGCCTGCATCTTTGAGGTGAAGCACAAGATTATAAAATAAAAAGGAAAAAAAATTAGGAATAGCTATTTCTCTGTACAGGAGCGTGACAGGTCAAAAAGATTAAAGAAACTCAAGAGCAGGGAAAGTGTGTGAGTAGGTTTTAAGCAAGACGGTGGGAAAACTGCAAGGGTGACACCAAGAAGGGACTTGGAAAAGTCTGAGGACTGTGTTGAAGTCATGGGTACTCAGATTTCTCTATGTCATGCCTCGTGCTGCAGTGGGGAGTACCCAGCACTCCTCTAACGCCATCAACTTTTTCTCTTGACAGTCTAACAAAGTGCCAGTTGTGCAGCACCCACACCATGTACACCCTCTTACGCCGCTTATCACGTACAGCAATGAGCACTTCACACCAGGAAACCCTCCTCCACACTTACCAGCTGACGTAGATCCCAAAACAGGTAGGTGGGAAATAGTTTTGGCTTTTTTTTTTTGAGAGTGAGTGGGTGGATCTTTCAATTTTGTGTATTAGGGGGAAAAGAGTGCAGGAGGAAGGATTTCCCATGCACTCTTGGAGCACCAAAGGGGGCATGTAAAATGTCAGAAAAAATAGTTTATTTTAAAGCCAATTAGACTTCAGAAGGATACCTGCAGGGTGAATTTTCATAAAGCTTCTGCCGGGTGACACCGGAGTTGCATGTGTGGGGTCATTCACAGGTGTGTTTCTTTGCAAGCATGGTACCCCCATCTAGTAGTTCTGTCTACCAAGTGCTTGGTTTGCATGCATGACCCAGCAAGTTAAACATGTACATTCTGTGATCTGCACTTACAGAATTGCAGCTGGAATTTTAAAGGTGGTGGGTCATGACCGGTTTCAAAATGAATCTCTTTTAATTCCCCAAATCCCATTGTTTCTGTGTCAGGAGTTCAGCCATTTTTCTCCTATAATGTTGAATTTTCATCCATTCTAACTACTTAGCTCCAGCTCTGTATTTGCAACTCTTTTCCCCAATGTAAGTCTACCCAACTCTCAGTTCAGCCTGAAGGGCAGTCTTCTTGAATATAGACCACCGTGTAAAACCCTGACTAGATTTATTGGTGTTATAGAGTAGAATTTACATGTTATTCTAACTTTTTAAAAGTCCTTGTTTAACCTGAGGGCTCAGGGAAGTCAAACAGTGTCAATCTCCTTTCTTTGGGCTGCACTGAGTTCCTAGTGACAGTGGTTTTGTTTTTGTTAATTCAAATCCTAGCTAGTTAATTGGGAAGTACATCAGAAACTAAATTCACGTCAAAGGAATCGCTCTGTGTCAGCCCTAACGTATGCAGATAATTTATCTGAAGTCCAGCCCTTCAATGAGGCCGTGCATTAGCTGGTTTTCACTCCCTATGCTTCAATCGGGGCCCCCTTTTAATTGTGCTTAATGCTAACTTCACATAGCTTAAAAGGATTCCATCTCGCCATCCCTGGGTATTGGAAGTGAATGGCATAGTCAACCTCTCATTTAAATAATGGCAGTACAGGGAATAGCTTTTAAATGGTTATCGTAAAACATATGATTAACGTCTGTAGACTGTTTACTTTTCTTCTGTGAACATTCTTTCAAGTGTGCAAATAGCTCGCCGGATGGTTAAAGCCCAGTTAATCTGTTTGGGTTTTGTAATGGAGAAAAAGCAATGTCTGCATGAAAATGTCACACAAGGAGATTTAATTTAGAGATTAAAAGCTTCCTGAGTGACTTAAAAAATAGTTTTTAGCCATGAATACAGTACCCCTTCTTTTTAATGTTCTCTGTTTTAATTTTGCTTCTGCTGTGTAATTGTGCTTGGGCTCGTTAATTGAAAGGCCCAGTCTTGTAACCCTTAGTCCTCTGAGTAATTCCTACTTGCTATTAAGGTAGGGAGTGTTGAGATGGAAGCCTTGTGGCTGGAGCTGGTTTCTGCTCTCCCAAGTAGGAACTGCACTGGTTTCAAGAGAAGACCGATGGGCTCTCTGTCCTCCCCTGCACACCTTTGGCATCTGCCCCCTGTTTCAGCAAGCACTTCCAGGGGTTCTCCCCTCCCCTGCTAGGTTTTGGGAAGGTTTCCTAGGTTTACTCATAAGCACATATAGTTTGCAATTGTAATTACTTTGTAGCTCATTTTGGAGGTTACTTTGGAGTAACACCATGCTGCTGATCACAAAGTCAAAGTATGGGTAAAGCCTGTGCTCTTTTGGTGACTTTGAGACTAAAATAACCATGAAGTTGATATAGGGACTATCTTTCTGTTGAGCGTTTAAGACAGCACCTAGCACAGCATAAAACCAAAACTATAGCTGAGACTCCTAAATTCTCATCCTAAATAACAAAATAATTATCTCTGGCTGGAGAGGTGACTGAGGGAGTGAATCACGTCAATTTTTCTGGTTGAAACTCATTTAACAAGATACCAAGAGGCTCACTTTATAAAATAAGACTGTGAGACAGCCTTTGGAAATGCAAAGTGAAGCCATGAGTATTGTAATAAAAATGAATCGATAGCAATTTAGAAACATAGGTGCTTTTTTCCTTATATTTTAGTTATTTTCATGTCTTAATACTAATGCTGCTTTATGTTCCTCTTCCATAGGAATTCCAAGGCCTCCACATCCTCCAGATATATCTCCTTATTATCCATTATCACCGGGCACTGTAGGACAAATCCCCCATCCGCTAGGATGGTTAGTACCACAGTAAGGAGTTCCATTTTTTTTATTTCCTTTTTCTTTTTTTAATGTGTAAAATTTATGTTAAAAAATCGTGTATGTGAATGTGCATGTGCATGTGTGTGTGTATTTAGATAAGTCTGTTTGCTAACTGCCACTTCATTGAGTGGTTATGAATTTACTCACCTCATGAAGATTAATTAAAACTTATGCCAGATCATGAGGTCTTAAACAAACATGAGCAGTTGGGCATAGCTTTGCATGTTGTCTCAACTGGCTGATAACTCATGAAGCATGAATTTTTAAAACCCTTCTGCAGAAATGTCCTTTTCTTGTTAATGCCCTTACACTGCACCATGTGGGGATTTCTCAAATTTGGTGTTCTGGTGGCTCAGGGTGGTTCTAGTTGGATTTCTTTTTTAACAGGGCCTTTGTCACTATAAATGTGCAATTTTAAATTCCATTGGCCTTCCCCGTTGAAACCCCTTTCGTGTTTCTTGTGAAACAGTAGAGCTTTACACCGGCCAGTGAGCAGCATTCCTGGTCGAGACGTGGCTGGGCAGTTGGCATCTGAGGAATGGAATTTTCTTGCAAACAAGAAAGAGGAGTTAGTTTACTTTAAAACTGGCTAAGAAAAAAGCCATGGGAAGTTAGTTTGGGGTTTTGTTTTCTTTCAGCTCCTCATATCCCATTTGTGGCACCTTGTTGGGTATGAGGTTCTCTCCAGTAATTGAGTCCTTATTTTCTTTTTTTTTCTTATGTTGCCATCTCTGCAATGGGCTTATAATGCAGTATAGCACTGCTTGGGCCTTTAGCACAGTATATTTGATTTAAATACTTATAAAATACATTCGTATTGTGGGATACAGCAGTTCTCCGCATTAAAAATCAAGGTTACTACCCTGTTTTTCTCACATGACAGGACCTGTCAATATTAGAGACACGGTATTTCTTTAGAAATTAATTGTCCAAAGCTAGAAATAGTTTGTTCCTGCTCAAGGTTGTTTTGCCAGCTATGCTAAAATACCTCTCCACAAGTTTGCCCTCCATAACGAAGTGGAGTTCACACCCTGTAGGAGAACTGGGCAGAGCAGAGGGTCCTCACACGCACCCAGGTCTTGGGCAGGGAGAGGGATTGGTGTCAAAGGCTTTGGGGGTCTTTCTCAAGCACAGAAGTGTGGTTGCAGGACAGCTGGAGCTTAGAGCTTGGCCTCTGGAGCCCGCTTCTGGCCACTTTGCAAGCTGTTCTTCTCAGCGTGGTCATGCAACATGATGGGGTAGAAGCTCTCCCACTCGGCTTTGGGGGTCTTTCTCAAGCACAGAAGTGGGATGCAGGACAACTGAAGCTTAGCCCTTGGCCTCTGGAGCCTGCTTCTGGCCACTTTGCAAGCTGTTCTTCTTCTCAGGGTGGTTGTGCAACATGATAGGGTAGAAGCTCTCCCACTGTGAGGGTGAAGCATGTCCATCAGCTGTCTGCAGAAGACTGCTTCTCCAGAAGAGCCCAGCATGAGCAGAAGAAAAACCCAGAGCATTGCTCCCTGAAATCCTGAATTCCTCCTCATTTGTGCTGATTTACGTTTTCTGTAGGACACTCTAAATGCCGGTAGAACATGTCAGCTCCTTTTCTTCTTCTTTTTGCTTGCAGGGCCTAGCTGCCATACAGCCAGCTCATGCTCCTCTGTTGCAACTGCTTAGCTCAAGTTTGCACAGTAACAGCCTCAGCATTTAAAACAAATATACTCAGCTAAAGCCAAAAGTCAGTAACGTTAAAGACATGAGAGCCTAGGGAAGAAATTTCTGGCTGTAATTGGCCTGTGTCTCAGTGCCTTACATCTTTATGTGTGCAGACACAGGTTTGTCCTCCTTGAACCTCATGTGATGGCTGCCAAACCCACACAAATGTTGCCACGTGTGGCCAGTTTCATCAGGCAACTGACAATGGCCACCTCTGTCACAGGAAGACTCTCTTCCCTGCTGGTTTATAACAGGTCAACACCCACAGTGTACTTACCTGCCAACAACTCTTACAGCTTCTCCAAGTGGTTTTTGTTGAGGGATGATACCATTGCATTTGCTTTTGCTCTAGGAGAGTAGCATGGCCAACTTTGCAGAAGTAGCCCAAGGTTTTTATTTCTGCTCTCGTTGCCACTCATGCTTCACCATCAACTTCCCACCCATCTGTCCTCAACTGGCCTGGGTGTTTCTAGCTTAGTTCCCCCCGAGAAAGCATCCTGCCCAGTCAGATGATATATTTTAAGGACAGATGAAAAGAACTAGCCAGCACAGACAAACCTCAATCAGTAAAAGTTGTGTGTCTTTCATGAGGATGCTGTTTTGCATGTTGCTGTATTTTTTAATTATTGTAATGAGGTGTGATTGTCTATTGGTTACCCACAATACTTCTTGGGGACTCTCCCCCGGTAACTCTTGTCAACACTTGTTAATCTGACAAAAGGCTACAAATTAAGCTCTGTTAATTTAATGTTTTCTCACCGAGATCTAAATACCGAAAGAGGCCCAAAGCGCAACTGAAGTCCTTTGATTCACTGTACTTTATTTTGGTATAAATTTACATTCATTATTGTTTTCCTTTGGATGTGTAGCCCTCAATTAGTGTGATGGCTCCATTAAAGCAAGCGAGACTTCGCCTTTAATTATTACAACAAAACACCTAGTTTCAGCTTGGGGAGAGGGTCTCTATTGACATAAGCAGAGGTTATAAAATTTAATTAGCCATTCCTATCAGATTTATGGCATTCAAATTGTTCTGTGTTTCTTTCCTTTGATCCTTGCTGTACAATCCCCAAGATTTTTGTTCTGATCAAATGAGAATAAAGCTTACTGTGCAGAGAGAAGTTTTTTGTTGTGGTTTTTTTTTTTTTAAAGACAGGTGCATCCCATTCAGTGCAATTCTTTTTTGCCAGGCAAGGTCAGCCAGTGTACCCAATCACGACAGGGGGTTTCCGCCACCCTTACCCAACAGCTCTGACCGTCAATGCTTCCATGTCAAGGTGAGTTCAAATACTGAGCTCCTGAATAGAGAGCAAATGTAACTCTTCCTGCCACCCTTTTTAGAGGAGAGCATTTCATCTAGGAAGTGTAGTTCTGAAAGCACTTCAGTTAAACAGTCATCCTTAGTTTTTTGGTGGGGCAGAGGAGGAGAGGACGAGGGGTACTTTGACAAGACGAGGGTGTCCTAGTGCTGTCATTGGGCTGTAAGAACATATTTTTGAGAGAGAGGTGGAGGAACCTCCAGTCATCTTTAAAAGCCAAACTAAGTGAAAAAGCTGTGAAAATGTGATGTTGAAAAAGCCAGAAGAAGTCGTGACACCTTTTGCTTTCTCGGTGGCTGTCACCCAGTTCTCTGTGTGCGAGAGGGGAGGCTCAGGAGGGAGGAGGGCTGCTCTTCAAGCGGAGTTAGGAGGAAGGTTATTGCACTATGTTTTTCTCTACCAAAGCTCTGAACACTGATAGTCAACATAAAAGGGCCCGCCTGACCCTCTGAAACTTTAGAAGTATATATTTCTCCCCCTCCCTACTTCCAATTAATTCCATCTAATTTTCCAGGGACTGCTAGTTTTATTTACAAACTGGTTGGCAGCACTATGTTTAAGTAATCACTAATTGCTCCTAATGATAGTTTTATTTTCTGTTCATCTGATTTTCAGCCTGGTTAATTAAATCGGTGGAGGTTTAGACTTTCCTGATGGGCTGAAACAGCTAATCCATTTTGATGATGGCACATAATTAAATTAGCATGCATTACATAGCAAGGTTCCACGTCTCTTCCCTGCTCTGTCCCTTCCTCTCCATCTCTGCGGTTTAATATGTGAAGGGTGGGGTACAGAGGATTTAAGGATGAAAAGATTGGGAGAGGGGAAACCTCATTGAGAAATGGAAACCTGTAACTAGAACTTGTGAGTGAATGGGTAGGGAAATAGTGTGTTGTATCCTTTAGATAACTTGAATAAAAGCAAAACATGAAAATTTGCCTGTGTTGCTCCAGCAAATAGAGAGACAACTGGAAAATCAACTTGAAAAAAAAATTAATCGGCCCAGCGCAGGGGAGAAAAAATCCTGGGTTGGGGAGAAAGCTGCAAATTTAAACAATGGTTCCCTCCCTCCATTTAATCTTTTTTAATATCTATAAAAGACTTGCAGGCATGGTGTGAGGCAAAGTAGAGCTTGATTTAGTTTAATTATTATTAGAGAGGCTAGTCATTTGAGGGAGGGGGGAGATGTGGGAGGGGGGGAGGCCATATTCCCAAGATAGGCATTATGAAAGGTATCTAGTTAAAAAGAGTACACAGCAAATTAAATACATTATTGTGGTAATGGGACGACAGAAGTAGAGGTCTATTATACTTATGGCAGTTATAGGAAATGTAGGCTCCTTGCCCTGTTCTAGCACATCCTTTGATATTCATTCCATTCAGCAGCAGGGCCAGGACTTCTCAGAATTAAGTGATGGGTCATTATACTTTAAACACCATGGAGAAGCCTAGATTGGCAATTAAACAGCACTTGCTGACACTCGCTTGTGCCACCCTGTGACCCCCTTTAGATTGAGTTGTTGGAGCTCGGGGCCCTCAGCCTGCTAAATTGGTAGCAGGCACTTCTCCTGACGAGGGCTGGCTCTGAAATCTGCCGGCTTCAAAGGGAGCAAGATCATGTATAAACCATAATGTGGGTGCACCGTGGCTCAAAAAATAAGGCAGGAATAGATGAAATGTTACAAGTGCAAGGGGAAAATGAGAGAATAATGACAAATCTAATGCAACTCAAAGCAGAATTGTTGCACAGAAAAATGCATCCCACTGCTTGTGCATAAAATCAAGGCAGGCAGATGACATCCAGTTAACAGAAACATGTCAACAGTGAAGTAAAGTGAGAGTGAGTAAGAGAGAAGCCCCTGAGACAGCTAGGAACAAAAAATTAGTTGTCCTTAACAAGTTAAGACTCATCATTATATTCTGGCTTGGAGCCATAAAAGGAGACGGTGGTGTATAATGAGCTGCTTAGAATTTTTAGGGTGTTTATTGCAATTCATGGAATACTTGTCTAGAGAAAAAAATACGAGGGGATGTCTGAGGCGAAGGTGAGGGGTGTGTATATCCGCACGCAGCCTTTCTTTTTGTCTCTGACACGCGCCCGTACGCACACATGCTCAGGCACACACGCAGACTGATGAATAGATTTAAGATGTTTATCCTTTGTTTCAGCCCAGAAACTTCTCTCCTGGTTTCCCATAGATGGGAACACCCTCTGGGCAGACCGTGCTCTGATACGTGGTTTGAGGCGTGTTTTCTCATGCCTGCCGTATCAGCTGGGGCACCTGAGCTCAGCCGTGGGACAGCCCTTGCCCTGAGTAGCCAGCCTGGTTGGGAGATGGGGCTGGCGTGCCCGGGGATGCCCACGCTTGCCTACAGACGTGCCATTCGTGGTTGGCCTCCAGGCAACAACCCTGCAGGGCCCAAGCCTTGGGCTCTCTGTGTTGGCTCTGCCCAGGGCAGACCTCAGCCTCAGCCCTCCATCCTGTTTTTTTTCAGAGCCTTCCTTCAAAAGTAATTCCCTTTTTTGCCTGCATTATGGTATAGATCTTTAGAGCATATAATGCTTCCCAAGCCTGAATATTCCCTAAGCTTAGTAATTACATTTCATTAGGTAGAGTGTGCTTGTGAATAGTTTATAAAAGGTTAATGGGTGACTAATAGTGATTTTCATAAATGGTTTAGACTATTAAGGTAGTGTCTTCTGGTTGTTTTATCCATTCACAACTCTTTTCTCTGCTTGTAGCATCACCCCACTCACTTCATATGCATGCAACATGCTTGTAACATCTCTTGTTCCTTCATTACCCCAATATAATATGCTCTTAATGTAAATTGAGACAGGGTTAACTGACTGATGGGCAAACAGTGGACCCACTATGAAAAAACAACTACTGTGAGAGGAAATCAGGAAATGATTTAACAGAATTACACTAGACAAACACTGCACAGCAGTTAAGTGGTGGCAGTGGAAAATACCTTCTGTAATTGAAATTTCAGGGGAAATTCACTTTTGCTGAATGTAATTACTGAAGTTGGAGTGTAGCCAGGAACTTAAAAAATTAACACTCTCCCCCTACTCGTATTGCCATGTGAGTGGATGCCTGCATGGAAATAAATAGGCACTTGAACTTTATGCTGAACCCCCACCCAGCCCACTGAAGTCCATGGGACTGTGCGGGTGACTTTGGATTCTGCAGCATGTTTTATAGCTTCAAACACAGGAAAGGTTGTCTAAATCCAATAGGCAGCCTTGTGTCCTGGAGGGAGAGACATTCAGTGTGAAATAATGAAGGGTCATTGGTAACAAACACACAACTTCCTTGGGGAAACTGCCACCCTGAAAGTAACTACTGAGCGCCAGCTGCCTGTTGTTGAAGGCTGCTGTGTCTCTGAGGTTCATTGCTCAGTAGGTAAAATCTCATGCCAGCTGAAGTCAGTGAAGGCTTCACCATCCTCCAGGCTTTTAACACACGTACATAGGCTTCTTCTCCTGTGCTGCCCTTCTTTCCCACCTGATCACTTTCCTGTGTGCAAATGGTCACTCTCTTTCTCCTAAATGGTAATTGGGAAAACATTTTTTCCATAATTAGGGGAGGGAGGTTCCTTTTTTTTTTTAGATTTTCTTCATCCTCCTCCATTTTTTATTGGCTGGAGGATCATCTTCATCATCATCAATCTTCATCAAAAATAAACAAGTAAAATAACCTTCTATCTTTTGTTGAGTTTGTTTCCCTTGAAGATCTTGACCATACAGCAATCCACCATGTAGGCAGAGTTCATTTTTCAGTGTGTTTAATTTTTGACCAGATCCTTATTTGAGAAGCTAGTCCATGACCCAGTTATCATGGCCACGTCATGGGGTCCTCTTCAGAAGCTTAACACCATCTTTTGTCCCTGTTAACTCCAGCTGTCATCAGTCTTTTTTGATATTTGGGAGCCCTTCTCCACTGATGAGTCCCACATTATTCAGGTCCACTCTCATACCCTTCTGTTCTTGAGCTATCGCTGCATGCAGGTCTTCTTCTTTGCTGTTATATGCTCACTGCCCTTCTCACTGTGTCCTCCTGTCAAACAAGCGCAGCTCTTCCTGCCTGCCCTCTGAAGGTAGGCATTTCATCTCCATCTTCATCCTTCGTTGTCCCATTGTCACTACCTCTTGTCAGTTTGAACCCTAGCTAGCCCCAGCAGCATGGTCTTCTCTTCAATGCTGGGTCCTGCCTAGGACCATTCAATAGCACGTGTGTCAACTTTTTATCACTATTCTTATACCACTTTCAGCGAGGTGAGGATTTTGCTCTGGGTTTTATTTTCACCCATGTTTGTACGTTATTTTTTTAAAAAAAGCTCTTACTGCCAGTTTTTATTGTTTGCACTGTACTGTGGCTGAAGGCCGCAGGCACTGTGTGAACAAACTTTAAGTATGTCCAATCAAAATACACACAGACACAAAAATAGAGAGAGGGAAAGCAGAAGAAAACGATACAAAGACCCAGTTTGTGTCTTGCTGATGGTGAGACAATTCTGTGGCATGAGTTAGACTGGGACATTGGTCTCCTACAGCCTCGCCATTGTCTTCTCTTCTGAGCTATCATGCACCAAAGCATTTCCCCAAATGTGCATTTCTCTCACAGCTACTTTTGTCAGAGAGTGAGGAAGGCATTTTGACAATCCACATGGAGATTTGTGTCCATAGGTCTTTAGCAGAAGTAGAAATCTGTGTAAGAATGACTATTTTGCTGCCCGTTCTCTTCACACTCTGCTCCTTTCATTCTTTCCATGCCTTTGTGAGGAGCTGCAGTTCTCTCCAGTTTGAACAATTTCACATTCTCCCTGTCAGTCCGTGTTCTTCCCAGCACTGCCTTCAACGACAAAAAACTTCTGTCTAATGATCCCGAGTACTACAAGCTTATAGACAAAGATCCTCAGAGCTCATAGTGGACAGTACCTCTTGTTCATCAAAGTACTTCTGTGTCATCTTGTGAATGCAGGGAATGTCTAGGCAGCTTGGGAGGGGTTAAGCTCAGTAATGGAATTTATAACTGAGGGAAAATAAAGAAATCCCATTATATTTCTGACACTTGTACACAGTTTACTTATCTATGGTATATCACCCCATTTTAAATCCCATTTGGTAGAAAAAAAACATTGTATATTGATGATAGAATAAATAATTCTTTATCCCATTGCATGTTCCATATCTCAGGGTACTTTATTTGGAGAAAAACGGTTCAAAATCTGGGATGAGAGTAGGGATTTGCAGTGATAAAAAACCTTGTCATTTGCCATAATCACTTTAGCCTTGGATTTTTGGAGAAGCTATTTTTGAACCAGATTTTTAGGCTAGATCACATTCCCTGGAAATCTGTTGGCTTCAGTGAGGGTTTTCTGAGTGAAAGGCAGTCAGTCATAGTGTGCTTTCCTTATTAATTGCAAAACCTTTCTGAGACTGTTGAGAAATAATGATAAGAAGTCAATCCTGCTTTTGAGAAATTTGTTCATTTTGGTTAAAAAGTAAAAAGTCTGAATGATTGTACCATGTTCGTGCTGTGGCCCTGACCAAGCAATTGGATTCGTGCAGAAGGATCCCACATCCCTCTGAATCCAGTTGCAGGACCAGGGCCTGTCCATGTATATGACCATAAACCATAAAGCTGACAACATTTTCTCTTTAGAAAGGCAAAACTGTTATTTTGCGTGATTTTAAGCCTTTCTAGGTTACTTTAATGGCTCAAAATTGACTTAATTCTACAATCTTCCCACCTTCTGTTAAAGCAATGTGGCTCAGAGATTTATTAGACACAAATAAATATTTTCTTTTGCTCCTTCAACAAAATGTAGCTAATGAGGCATCTATAAGGATTATCAAAAATGCATCTAGATTGTGTTGGCATTAATATTTTATTTTGCTGTCAATATGCAACAAAAGATGTCACCCCAAATTCACAACATGATTCAGAACTACAAAAATTGATTCCTTGCTTGACACAGATAATTTCTTAGCAAAGAAATGGACTGCTGGATTTCCTTGCAGGTAGCTGAAATTCCACTTCCATCCAAGTTCATCCAGTTGAATTTGCCTTTTGTTAAAGATGTTAAAAATCATGATGTCTCATGTCAGTAATGATAATGAAGGCGAAGATTGGCTTTAATGACATTAGAAGAGTCATTATGTTTAATTTATTGCTAATTAATGCTGCCAGCTTTCATATGCTTTGTCTAGCTGTCATGTGCTTGTTATATGCCTTTTTTTTTTTTTTTTTTTAATGTGTGTACACATCCCTCCCCATTCATTCATTTTTATTCTGACGATTTACACAGCTTTCTCTCCTCTAGGTTTCCTCCACACATGGTCCCGCCACACCATAGTTTACATACAACTGGAATCCCTCATCCGGCCATAGTCACACCAACAGTCAAACAGGAATCTTCCCAGAGCGACGTTGGCTCACTCCACAGCTCGTAAGTTGTTGCTTCCCATGTCTTATTATTAGAACACCTAAAGCATCACCTGTGCATGTGTGGCTTTTAAAAAGGCTTGGATTTGTTGGAATGTTTTTGCTGTAAAATATTTTTAAAATTGATTTTTTTTCTCTTCTGTTCTAATTGATATGAAGATGGTTTAACTACTGAAGTGTGTTAAAATAATGGTAACAATCATTCAGAGTCATTTTGTGACATAAACAAGTAGTTATTAATTTCACCTGTCTTAACAAGGAAGTGGAATTTTCTTGATCAAGATTCAAGCTTCTTCACTGGTTTCCCTGTTACTCAGTGCCTGGTTTGAAGACATGAGATACCAGATACACAACAGGAGACAAAAAATCAGAGCATAAATGGCTTGCTCAAAGCTTGCAGAGAGAGCTGGTATCAAGTTTAGGTTTAAGCTGAGGAGAGCCCTGGTCTGCCTCTGGCTGCTTCTTGCCTTCCATTTCACGGGTGAAGCAGAAAGACAGCATTTCAGTTCCCAGTGATGATGGGGTGTAATTATTTCCGCTACCATCATGCTCACAAGCCCTCCCCAAGAACCCATTTTCCTGAGTACCCATGTCCTTCTGAAGTTCTTCTAGGGGCTGAGAGGTTACTTGGTGATATTGCATAAACATGAGATAGGTTTACTTTTAATGCTCTTAAAACTGTTCTCCTACAGCAGCCACAGTGAAGGCCCTAGAGAACCTTCTGGTCCTCTTTCTAGAGGCTAATTTCTGAAGATTAATGCTAGAGGGATTGAGGGGATTAATTTAATAAACTCACAAGAGTTCTCACTGTGAGGTTTATGTCTGTTGTATCTTTGCCCTTCAGAAAACATCAGGACTCCAAAAAAGAAGAGGAGAAAAAGAAGCCACACATAAAGAAACCTCTTAATGCATTTATGTTGTATATGAAGGAAATGAGAGCAAAAGTTGTAGCAGAATGCACATTGAAAGAGAGCGCAGCCATCAACCAAATCCTCGGTCGAAGGGTAGGTAACAAGGGACAAGCACAAGCAAGGACTGAAACTCGGTGGGATTCACACTACTTGCCAGCAAAGGGAGTTGCATCCTTTTGAATCAGTGGGTTTTCCTGTACTTTTGATAACGGATAGGGAAGTCACTAAACCAAAGGCTTCTTGTGGTTTTTGTTTTTGCAGGCACTTTTTGCCAGTGGAATCATTCATAAGGAAGGGGGAGAGTTAATTAATAGCAGTGTTATTTCAATGTTATTTCTATCACCTGGAGATGGAAGAATCTCAAATTTATTATTTTGTCCTAGAAACAGGCAGAAAAGTCAATGGGGAAGGAAAAAGCCTTTGGGAAGTACTGTCAGCACCTGTGAGAGCCAGGAGAGGGGAGGGGGTACCAGTGGGGAAGGGAGGGGGAGACATTCTGTAAATCTTTAACTGAGATCTGGCTCACAACACGTGGTTCAGCTTCTGGACCCTCACCCCTGCTCTTTGGTTTTGTTTAGTTTTCTTAATTGTCCTCTCTCATCAGGAGACAAAGGGGCTGAGTGAATGTAAATTATACGTTGTGACTCAGTTGAGCTTACTGGAGTTATAAATAAAATATGAATGGCAGTGTGCCAGATCATCTGGTTTTATCTCTTTTTTTAATGAAAATCAACTCTTGCTGTATTTATATATAAATAATATACTCTGCTGTTAATGTTTTTGGGAAAAAAAAAAAAAAACAACACTTGTGCTTTTTATTTTGTCTTGTTTCTCTTTTCTTCACCTCAGTGGCACGCGTTATCCAGAGAAGAACAAGCGAAATACTATGAACTAGCAAGAAAGGAACGACAGCTTCACATGCAGCTGTACCCAGGCTGGTCCGCACGGGATAACTATGTAGGTTCCTATGTAGGTGGAAATTTTTTAGTAGTAGAGCTTGTAGAAATGTGTATTTTTTGCTGAACTACGACCACACATTGCACACAAGCACTACCTGGAAAGCGTGCATCAGGATCCCAATCTGGTAACAACGGACGCTCCCCTCTGCGATACTAAAACTATTGGGGATAATTCCCAGCTCTTCCACTTGGAAGGGGCTTCCTGGCTGGGACTATTAAAAGGATAGAATTGGGGCATGACAATAGAGCTCTGTGAAGAAATTCTTGCCTTCACTTTTACCAGCATCTGGAAATGCTGTTTGGCTTGCTGACCATTTTAAATGTCATTTTTTTTTTAAAAAACAAAATTTTAAATTCCCCTAGTATGGCTATTCTCCTTTCCACCAAAAAGATGACTAATTAGTGTCTTGTGCTTATCTGTGTGAGAGTATAGTGGAAAGTGGAAGATTGACTTATCCTAGCTTCAGAGAAGGACTGGCAAAACCAAAAGCATGACTTGTTTGAAGGTCTTACTCTCAAGTGGGGTTGAATGAGTTATTCCATGCTCTACTGTTGTATATTTCAATTGTGTTTTACTTTTTCATGGCCATGTTAGCCCCCTTCCCCCTGCCATTTTTTAAAAAGTGTTTTGGAGTTTGTGATCAATTAATGGAGTGTTTTTAAGACTGATTCTCCCCTGCACCTTTCAGAAAGCCTGTTTTGTAGCTAGAAGTTGCAGAATTTTCTGTCTGTTAAAAACATAAGGCCAGCGTTGTAACTGTGTACTAGTAGTATGCAACTCCTTCTTCCATGAAGGGTAAGCAGTGCATCTGGTAGCAAGTATTCACAAGCCTAAACACATAAATTTGTGACAGATTTGTGGATTGGTGGGAGCTCTAAATCCTCTTTAATAGGATTATAGCAGCATCCTGATTTTTTTTTTTTTTTTTAAAAAGTCACCTAAAATTTTCAAGGTCTATAATTCTGGAATAAACAGGGCTCCCTGTCTTCCAGTCAGACTTCCTTGCTAGTTTGGGGTCCAGCAGCTGTAAGATCGATGTCAGTTATGTGTGCAGGAAAGCCTAGAGCAGCAGCAGCAGCTCTCTACGTTCTTCTGCCCTTTCAGCAGTGGAATACACATGCCTACTTATTTAGCAATATTTACTTAAGGACATTTTCTCAAATCCTTCTGTTCTCTCTTGATCATCTTTCCCTTCAGTTGGGCTCTGCCTTGCCCCCTCCTTTGCTCACCGCTGCAGGTTTAGCTGTGCGTGCTCCTCAGAGGAGACCTCATTAAGCCCGATGAGGCATTGCTCCTGCTTAGACACATTTTCCCTTTCTTTTCAGCATAGTCTGGCCTGAGACTGTCAGACCATAGGCTTGAGGTAGTTCCTCAGCACTGTGCAGTATCATCTTCTTGGGTGTTCAAAAGGGAGTATAGGCTTGACTGAGGTTTCAGGAAGGCTCATTCTGCGCTATGACTGTGCCAGCGACAGATGGGCATGTACAAAGCCTTCAGCGTTTAGGACCTTTTACTTTTGTCCTCACTGTGTGAGCACTGAGAAACCCTTTCTTCTCAAGCTAAAAAGGACAGGATGAGAAAGCCGATGCTTTCCCAGCGGCTTGATGCTGTACCCCCAAGTGACCTTCAGGGGGAATCTTCCTGCCTGAGGAGAGCGCGGTACCTTTGCATCATACAATTGCATCATCCGCAGGATTTACTTATTTCTCCTCTCCTGGTCAATTCAGAGCTCTCCGAGTTCCCCTCCTCCCTTGGTGTTTCACAGGGTCTCAAGCCCTTCACAGAAGGGGAGCACATTTGGGCTGCTTGAAATTGTTAGGCATCTCACATCAGGTGTGAGGAAGAGGCCAGCTGTAGCCCAGGTCTTCAGAAATAGGAGTAGTACCTTCAAGAAATGCAGCTTTCAGCCCACTCTTAAATAAGAGAAGAGGATTCAAGGCATCCGTTGTGTCTTGTTGGTGTCCCAAGGCACAGTTGCTCTTTCTGAGATCTAGTATAAGATGTTAAGCAGCACTGAGTGCTGGATCTAGAAGTATGTAAAGGTCTGCTGCTTGCCTAAGAAATTAGTACCAAAGAACTCTGCCATCCTGTCAAAACCCATGTTGGTTTGGCTCTGTACAGGGAGCTGCCAAAACAGTTAGCAAGTATTTGCCTCCACCTTTACTTGCAGCCTAAGAATTTGCATAGTACAATGACAGAAAATGTTACAGACCATCTGCTCAAGTCTTGGGAGGACAATTGGAGGCAAAGGCAAAACGATGTCTTCGGCAGAGCATTTGAAAAACTGCTGCTGTAATTATTTTCTTAAGTCCATGTGTTAATTTAGCTCCATAATCAGAGATCTTCTTGTAGCACAGAACTTGAACAAGGAAGCCAGGTGATTCTTCTTCCAATTTCCTTTGAAAAGGGTGTAAAAGAAGTTAGTGGGACCTTAGTCAGTTTTTTGTTAGGAACAGTTTTCAAAGATTGTGTTGAAAAGGAACTAGAAATTCCTGGTCCCTGGCTGACATTCCTGTCTATCAGCCATTTTTAACAGATTGCTCCCTAGAGGACTTATAGGACTTTAATACCTGCCTTGAAGAGTTTGTAAAGGGCAGGTGACTCCTGACTGGCCTTTGTGTGAAGTAGTCACAAGGTCTCAAATTGGAATAACCCTTGAAGTCCCACATGTACTGACAAAGTTAAGCAAATTTGCCACAAGATGCAGTCTAATTATGCAAGTGGCCTCCTTGAGATTAAATAAAAATCAGGCTTACGGTCCTGAGGCAACTGTCTGGTTTTGGTTATGTTGTTGTAAACCTGGAAAAAAATCACTGGCTTTCACAGAGTTACTGTCAATCTAGATCAATTGAGATGGAGCAGTCTGAGGCTCTTGTATCTCTGCGATACATGGACTTTAAGATACCACATTTTCCCTATTTTATTCTCAGGGAGCTTTAGGAGCAATGCTTGTCTATCTTGTCTGCCTGTCACGTTAAACTGATGGCTGCTGTAGCAATTGACTCAGAGCAACAACTTTCCATGTCCCTCAAAATGACCTCAGAGGTGTTGGAGGTGATTTCTCAGCAGCATCCAGGCCACAGGATTCTATGCATGTCGTTTAAAGATCCTTTAAAATTGACAGTGCACACAGCTTTTTCCATCACCAGAAGACTCTCATGAACAAGGCTGTGCTTGTCACAGCCTGGACAGCAGGGTGGCAGTTCACAACCCTGAGCAACCAAGGGGGAATGAGTACAGAAACCCTGTGCCAGAAAGCCAACTTTTGGGGTGGAAAAATATGACAACAACAACAGATCAAAATCCAGCATTCCTGTTAGGGGAATTTTTTACCAGTACATTCCAGGGAGCATGTCATAGTGACCATGTTACAGTGGATGTCCCATGCTGAAACCCAGTCTTAACCATTTAGCTGGGAGCCAGACCAGCCTACTGAGAAAGATGTCCACCATGTGGGAGAAGCTATTCTCATTCCCCACAGGTATGTCTAGGCCTTCAAAAGTGCTGTGAGATTCCTTCTTCCAAGACATGTCTGTTCCCTTTTGACCACAAGGGACTGCTGGCCTGGTGTCTTTTCACCAACTTCTCTTAGTACCACATCTTCTAAAGCAAGGATCTTTGTCCTGTTCACAGTTGACATTACAGGCCCAAAAATAGTTGCTTTTAACATCTGGGACTGGTCTTTTAGTGCTGCTCTGCAAACCCTGTAGCTCAGTGTTAGAAAAGCTTTCTTAGAAAATCACTTTTCTCTTTTTTGAGCCATGCTTATTACTTTCTAACTCGTCTCCTGGAAACTGATTGTTGGGTTTCCGCAGAAGTCAAGCTCCTGGTCATGTCCTTTCCCACACTGCTGGGGGGAAATGGAGAAAGGGCCTTTCTCCCTCCAGTCAGAAACCATAACACATTGCATCATCTTGTGGGACAGCATCTGGGAAAGGGACGCAGTTTAGCAAAACACTACTGGTGATTTTTCTTTTGTGGTCGAGCAAAATGTGGGAAGGGTCTTAGTTATATGTGGATTTTTTTCTCTTTCTGGTTTTGCCTTCTGAGTTGTCATGCACTTAGAAACTTGCAGGTTAGGTTTTGCTCTTTCGTGTGGCTTCCTTGTCTGCTTTAACGGCTGGTTTTGGGTGCTGAGGAACTCCAGGGTCTCAGTCTGACCTCACTTATGGACTCTCTGACCTTGAATGTCTGTTGTTGCCTCTTCTTCCCCTCCCTACCCCATAGAAACACGACCAGGAATGACTTTTTTGAAGCAGGAGCATACAAGTGTCAGTATTTGTCATAGTGATAATCTTACCTCAAAAGAAGTATCTTGCAAGTTGTTCTGCCCCCTCCCCAGCTGCTTAGGGCTTTGGTGGGTGTTAGCATTGGTGGGGAGCTGCAGCGAGGCTTCCCAAAAAGGCACAGGGTGGGCAGGCAGAGCCATCCCTGGGGTGTGAACATCCCCTCGGGGCCCTCCAAGCCTCCCTGCACCGCGCTCTGGTGTCCTCCCTGGGGAGCTTCCTGCACCCGCTGCAGCCCCATTGCTCAGTGCTGTCTTGCAAGGAGACGTGTTTTGGGTTTTGGGGGGTTTTTTAATTCTTCTCATTTGTGTGTGTTTCCTGCAGGGAAAGAAGAAGAAGAGGAAAAGGGATAAGCAGCCAGGAGAGACCAATGGTAAGTAAAATTAAGTCTAAATCTCTTGCTTAGTGGAAGTGTGGCAATCCTGGTGTGATGCTTCTAGGTCCGGGGGAGGTGGGTACGAGTCTCCTGGCCTCACGGGGAGCTGACCCCTATACTAGACAGCCTTTCTTTTTTTTTTTTTTCTTTATTTTTTTAAATGCACTCTAATTATTTACACATTATTGCCCTTCTGAAACTAGTAACCAAGCCATTGCATGTGAGAGTCTCTCGTGACGTTAGCTGAATTTGTACGTAGTGATTGCAGAGCCTTTAACCGCAGAGCCATAGTTGTAATGCCTATGCCATCATTTATAAAGTTGTGTGCTCACTGTGCGCATAAGTGTGTGCGTGTACATACGTATGTATGTGTTTGGTATTAATTTGGGCTGTACCTGTATGTTCTGATGCATGCCTTACAGTGGTAAATCGCACCCATTTTAAATTAAGGAGGTTTGCCATTCTGTATAGGAAATTAGAAATACTGCATAGGCAATCTCATAGTCAATTTTGAAGAAGCCCTGACTTAGTTTTTTTGAAGCCTTTGTATAATTTGTTCTTTTTTTTCAGAACACAGCGAATGTTTCCTAAATCCTTGCCTTTCACTTCCTCCGATTACAGGTGCTAACGTCATTTTGAGTCATTTAAAATAGTTTATAAACTGCTTTTTAATTTTTTTTTTCCTGCCATTATAGAATTTAACATTAAACACGACATTAAGAAAAAAATACCATCCACACGTTTTGATAGTATTTATTATCTATATATCTTTATATCTATTATATGTTTGATAGTAATTTTTAATTTTGTTTTTTGTTTTTGTAACAATTGCTATTAAAACAGTAATACAGTAAAAATAACGCAAGAGTTGTACTAACTGTGCAAATTGAATATGCAGTATTTCTTTAAAGAGACTGATAAAGAATGGAAGCAAGTCAGTAATGAACCTCCTTAATCTAATGGCATTTTTCATGGCTCCCACTAAGTCTTCTCACATTAGCATGCATATGCATTTTTTTATTATTATTTTCATTTTGGATTTTTTTTTTTCCTTTCTGCTCAAGCCTATTCATTGCAATTCACTCGCTGTACTAACTCAGCACCTTGCCATGCCTAACGTTTTATTTTCTGGCTGATACTAACATACTCATTCCGCAATCTGCTTATTCTTATCCATTCTTTTAAATACAAATTAATAAAAACAAATAAATTGAATGTTATTCCAAAAGCTGCATTATCCCAGGAGATATAATTTCCTTTTTTTTTTTTTTTTTTTTTTTTTTGCTCTCTTATTTTTATTTTGTATCTGAGTTGAAGAAAAAAGCATGTTCAGGATCTAACTTCCATACTCAGCTTCTTTTCTTCCTTTTTTCCCCCCGCCTCAAAAAAGAGAATAAAAAAAAAACCAGCCCAAATAAATCTTGCCTGAAACATCCTGCTAGACCAGCCACAATGACTTTCCTCTACCTGCTCTTTTAAAAGGGAAAGAAACAGTCCTTTATAAAGGGATACTGCAGCTTTAATTGCAACAGCTAATCTCAAGAGTTGAATAAAAATGTGATTATCACTTTTTTTTTAACTTTTAAATCAAAAGTCAATATTTTGCAATTAATAACGAGGACATTGATTTTTATTCCCTTTTTTATTTTTATTTTTTCCTTATTTTTATCTTTCTCTTTTTTCTCCCCTTTTTCCTTTTCTTTTCTCTCTCTCTCTCTCTCTCTCTCTCCCCCCCTCTCCCCTTTTCTTTTTTCCCTCTCTCCCTTTTCTGCTCGCTTTTCTTGAACTCATTCAGACCTGAGCGCTCCTAAGAAATGCCGAGCGCGCTTTGGCCTTGATCAACAGAATAACTGGTGCGGCCCCTGCAGGTGTGTATAGTTTTCCCAGACTCGCTATGGCTGATTTGCAGCTGGTTTATTTGGTACTTTCCCCTTTTTTTTCCTGCCTTGTTGCTTTGTAGCTCTGTGTTGTGATCTAGAACACACAAGGGAGTGGGACACTGCCATGAGTTATCATCTCTCTGAAAGGGTTTTGCTTTTTTTTTTGTTGTTGTTGTTGGTCTTTTTTTTTTGCCTTCCTCTTTGCTGCTGCTAGCCAAAAACCCACTGTAAAACAGCATCAGCCTTAAGCCCATCTGATCCGTGGCTCAACCACGCTCCTGGCCTCCAAGCCTCCACCCAAGGAAATTCTCTCCCAAAGTCCTCAATCACACAGCATTGAGCGCGGTACCGACACCAGACAGATGCACGGCCGTGTCGGAGACTTTTTTTTTGGTTTTCTTTTGGCTCATTGTGAAAGTCCTGGTTTATTTCCTGCCCTTGGTACAAGGGGAGATTACCAAATAAAACTGAGGTGATTGAAAGCTAAATGTAGCTGTAGCTAAGATGACGCAGTCCAAATGAGCTCTATCCACCATTGTGTTGTATTTTTTGTGTTTACCTTATGCTAACAGATGCAAATACTCCAAAGAAGTGTCGGGCATTGTTCGGGCTTGACCGACAGAGTTTATGGTGCAAACCATGCAGGTATAATATTACCCATTAGGCCTTTGGGGAAATAAAAGCAATCTGTCCTCTTAGTGCATTTGTGTGATTTTATTTTTTTAATCTTTTTTCCCCACTCCCCACCTTTCTCTCTCCACAGCATCAATTGCTAATAATCTTTGATCTTTGGAATTTCTTGCTAATTTAATGCCATTTTCTCTCTTTCTTTACCAATAACCTTTCCCTGGTGGTAGAACTGGGAACAAGCAAACTTTTGAGTCCTTAAAGCTGGCAGGTTTTTTGGCTTTTTTTTTTTCCCCCCCCAGATTGTCAGCAAAATTAATGTTTAGCTGAACATCTGTATTTTGTCTTTCATTTGGGTCTATATCTGCTGCCTCCAAAGGCTTTTTAAAAAGGTTCTGGGATCTGCAGCACCTAGTGTTTTTCTCATTATTAGAGATGTAAAAGCCAGTGTTTACAGCTTATATTGTACTCATTTTTTTGGTGTTATCTGCAAAATTAAATAGCTACCTGTAGGCTTCAATGCCTTGGTAAGGTTTATGCAGGTACCAGTTTTTTAAATTATCTGATGTCTTTTTTTTATGATTCTGAAAATACATTTTTTTCCTAAATTTCATCCCAAGTGAGCTGTAAATGCCTGAGCTCTAAACAAAACTAATTACAACTTCAGTAGGACAGTTTCCAGCATTAAAAGGAAATGAAAGACATCAGAGAGCCCAGATTTCGACAGCCCATGTTCTACTGGAGTTTGATTCCATGTATAACTCAGTATGTGCTTCTTTCTTGGTGGAGGGATACCAAGTAGTTCTTTTCTCATTCCTTTTTCCTTATGTGATCGCGTTTGGTTAAATTTGTTGTTTCTTTGTTCTGATACAAGCAGTCTTTGAATTTGGAATATTATGATGGTAGGTATTTCAACCCAAACCACACTCTGTGTGTAGTGATTCCTCTCCCACATTTTCCCTTCTTACTCATGCCAGTCCCATGTGCTCCATCTCATTTAGAATGTAGATCAGACGTCCATCGTATTTTGTGTATGCACGCAGTCTTGTTTGTGCTTAGTGTCGAGGAAAACACAGATCAAGGGTGGTGGTGTATGTCAAAATACCAGCTAAGGCACCAGAAATGTCTTCACCAGATTGCATATTGTCCCCTGCAAGGCATGCCAGTACCGGGTGTTGGGGTCTTAAATACCAGTACCAGTACGTGTGTTAAAGAGGCTTTGAAAGCAGCAGTTGCTTAAAGCTTAAAGGGAGAAGAGTTCAGTCCTCGAGAGCTGGGTAGCCACTTCACTGTGTCAGGAGGCTCAAGTCTCATGCTAGCCAAAGACTCAAATGCTGTGTTTAATTAGGCTTTATTCTGTGGTTAGTTCACTACACGCTATCAGCAGATATTTGTGTAGTCTATAAAGATAGAGTATTTGAAACACGTCAAGCTCTGTATGCCAAGTACCAGAACTGGGGGCACATCATGTTTGTGTTGCTTTATCTTTCCCT